GTCGGCAATTGAAGCGGCTCTCAGCTACCAGAAGCTCGTAGTGTTGATGCCACATCTGTCCAAGTGCTTGGATGTCATATTTTACCGTTTACTTATGATAACGCAAGAGAAAGATACCTGCGTGTGAACTAGCATGGCAGTGGGAAATCGCCAGTTTGAACAGAGACCTCATTATCCTCATTTACACTCATCTACCAATTCGATCTGATTTGATACCAAAGACGGAGATTTGCCATTGTCGCGTTAGATCACCATAGCGGGATCCCTCCGGAAGCTGAATTTGGCGACGGCTAACCCTTGTTTTGGAATCTTCTCACAGGGGCCTATGGTGCCCAAGAAAAGAGAGGCCAGTGTCTCAAGACGGGAACTTGTGCTAATTTCCCGCGAGACCAAGGCACATTGCCTGAAAACGATGGAAAGCAGGGTATAGGTCTTGGGACCCGAAGAATTGGATGGCTATGTTGCTATGCTTGAACATGCTTGCCCCAATCAGAACGGGCACTTTATCGGCAATCATATGACATAATATTAATTATGGGATACTTTGGAATATAACTTCTTGATACTTCTCGCAATTTCACTGAAAATGAGTACCCCCTGGTAAACTAGCAAAACTATGGACAATCACACTTTTTAATGGGTCAACCAACTATACATGGTCATTTTCAATAGCTATGTTAGTTGACCCATACCCAGTGTCAGAGATCGCTACCATCGCCCGAGGTGATTTGAAGCCGGGCGTGGCGACGCCTCAGCAGTCAAGGCAGGACTGCTCCTGCCGTGTGGAAGAAACGACGACCGCCCAAATGATCCCTGCTTTGGTGCGTCAGAGGGGATTGAATCACCCGACCAAATCATCCACCAAGAAAAGTACCTCTAATATCTTCTTATATATATATAATACACACACACATGCATACACACATATGTATATAGATATATATGTATGTACAAACACTTTATATATATATATTCCATTATATTCCTTCATTCATTCGTAGACTGCACGTACATGAAACGGAATAATATATGGATTCCAGGCATGTGACATTCCATGATATTCCAAGAGCTGCTTGTTTCCACAGGCCACGGCTGCCATCCCCTGGTGTCTGAGCCGCATCATCCAAGCTACATAATTAGGTTTAAAAAAGATAACGTAACCTTAGCCTGTTTCAACGAATTCCAACATGCGAGTGGCAAGGACCTGTGGCATGCAGGAGAAAAAACATGTACTGTAACATAAGACTACATCACATTGCGTAAATAAATGTTAAAAGAAACATGTTTGCAGAGGTTTCAACACACCCTCCCGCGGAACCTTCATATGGAGACATCCAAAACCAATGTTTTGGATCATTTATGCCTTGCTCATCCAACTCAGGCCTGACAACCTCTGAGAAGGAGCTCCCCGGTCGGATCTGCTGTGGCAGTGTTGATGTTGCTAACAACGAGAAAGCAGCATATAAACAAATGCCCAGTTTTGCTGCTTCCCCAAACGGTTTCTACTCGAGGAGATAGGAGATGGCTACTTCAGAGTTCCATGGTGAGCTGCTGACATTCAAAAATATGTAAAATTGGCCACTGGCCAACTGGTCCGGTTTAGTGGTTGGATTTCTCACTCCACGCTTACAGGAAGTCTCAGAAGGCCTTGAAGCCTTGAAACGTGGGGGGCTCCTGGCGTGGCTGGAGGTGGATTATCCCAATACATATACACACATATTTTACAACACAAAAATATATACATATGATATTTTATGTATAATATGATTTAATATGATAATAAATATATGGTACACATATATGATATGAATATATAATATGATATATATATATATATGTATAAATGTTAAGTTGTGATATAGAATGCACAACAATATGTATATATTATATAAAGTTTATGTCTCACAAACACACACACACACACATATATATATATTTATATTTATATTCATATATATATACATAAACCCTTTAATGTCCCTATTTCTAGCGGAATGGAATTGAGAGCTATGTATGCAAAGTCTATATATTGAATCTCTACCTTTGCAAACATTCAAAACAATGTCAAGGTGTCTATTGATGGCAGTGTTTCAAAGAGCATTTTTTTGCGCATACTGTATATATATATACAGTACACACACACTATATATATATATATGGATATAACTAGAGAGATGTATCCACCTATCCCAGACTCCCGGAGATCAGACTCCTGGAGATGGCGATGGAGAGAGATATAGCCACGTTTCCATCACAGCCGGGCGTCAAGGTCACTGCATCCCATCCCGGTGTCCACCCCGAAAGCGCCGCTGTATGGGCCGTGCGAGTGCACGGGCACACAGAATGCGATGCTTCGTATCAAAGTGTTGGACACATCATGATATAATATATATACACATACAGATGCACATGTAATTATAAATATGCATTTACATGCATGTATTTATACTATCGAATTTCTTAACTTAGTAAAGTTGCCAAATCTATCCACATCTTCAATTCTTGACGTTTAGCAGTTTTTGGATCAGGTTGGCAGTTCGGCCAGTACCACAGACAACGAGACGTCGAGCTCCGTGGGGGGCTTGGGAGGGGTCAGTTTTCCAGGGTGCAGGAGCAGTTTCCCAACGGATACCCCTGATACTATGGGGAATTTGCAGTCAACAACCAACACTCAACAACAATGTTCTTCTAAAGTGACCACGAAAGGTGATGACATGGGGGTGTAGCGCATGTTTTGTTTTTTTCAGGTTTTCAAACTCAGGGCTCACTTTATCACTTATCAATAGCTTGGACAACTTCAGGGTCACTGGGCACAGCTGGCTCAGTGCCTCAGTACCCGCCTGTCCTCGACTACGCTGGCAAGAGCATTTAGACTTATCAATGAATGATTCTTATTACTACTGTGAGATGATTACGATGATGATAATGATGATGAGGAGGAGGATGAGGAGGATGAGGAGGATAAGGAGGAGGATGGTGAGGAGGAGGAAGACGACGATGATGACGACGACAACGATACAATCCTTTGCACGATGAACATTTGGATGCCTCCAATTCAATAAACCACCACATATCATCACATCACCATCATATAGTCACATATACTATATACACATTATACACATGAATACGCATACAACATCTATACAAATACATGTGTAATACGATTATATTATATATATGTGTGTGTGCTATTGACGTCCTTTTCAAAATGCCTTCGAAAGGCAGGGAAGATGCAGAGTGGCCGGCGCTCCTCCTCGGAACCGCAGTCGGAGCCCAGTCCGGGCAAAGCGGAGGCCGTGCAGTGGACGCGTCAGGGCGTCAACACCGAAGACTTGGTCCGTTGGTACCTAGATTTGCCCACCACCGATCCCACATATCCTTTGACATGCTCAAATCATCTCAGGTCCTTGCGTAGGGCTAGCGTTCTTAACTTTCCAAAAACAGGAAATCCTAAAACTTAAATTCTGAAACCCGAAACCCAAAAACCTAAACCTAAAGTCGCTGCGTATAGCCAGTGTTTCCGTTCATCCCCAAATGACAAACATGGGGGGTAGCGCCAACCTTGATCACTGGCCAAATTGGAATATGCTTGGGTTGTTGCCACACTAGTCCAGTGCATTCTTTCGTGAGGGACTTTCACTGTCAATTTTTTGCAGGTCGCACATCCGAAGATGCCGGAGACAGTAAAGGAGCTGAAGGCGTTGAGCCAACCCTTGTGGCAGTCCTTTGGCGGTTGTGGCGATTTCTTGGACATAACAGCAAGAAAATAGGGGGGTACTGCACAATAGGATATGATAGGATATACTGGGATAATGGGATACAACGGAATACAATGGGGTACTATGGGATACAATGGGGTACAATGATACAACGTTTTTCTTTGTTCTGGTTGCTGTTGCTTTGACTGCCGCTGCCGCTGCGGCTGCTGCTGCTGCTGTTGTTGTTGTTGTTGCTGTTGTTGTTGTTGCTGTTGCTGTTGCTGCTGTTGCTGTTGTTGTTGTTGTTGTTGTTGTTGTTGTGGTTGTTGTGGTTGTTGTGGTTGTTGTGGTTGTTGTGGTTGTTGTGGTTGTTGTGGTTGTTGTGGTTGTTGTGTTGTTGTGGTTGTTGTGGTTGTTGTGGTTGTGTTGTGGTTGTTGTGGTTGTTGTGGTTGTTGTGGTTGTTGTGGTTGTTGTGGTTGGTGTGGTTTGTGTTTGTTGTGTTGTTGTAGTTGTTGGGTGTTTGTGTTGGTTTTGTTGTGGTTGTGGTTGTTGGTTGTGGTTGTTTGTGTTGTTGTTGTTGTTGTGTTGTTGTTGTGGTTGGGTTGTGGTTGTGGTATGTTGTGGTTGTGGTATGTTGTGGTTGTGGTAGTGGTTGTGGGTGGTTGTGGTTGTGGTTGTGGTTGTTGTTGTTGTTGTTGTTGTCGTTGTTGTCGTTGTCGTGCTGGAATGACACATATAACAAATGTGGTATTTGAAGACCATGGATTCACGCGATTTTAAGCAACCAAAATTGGGGATTGAATGAGACATACAACCAAATCATGCGACATTATATGGGTGTGTCCAAAATGGATGATGGGCCTCCAAATTTCCGGCAATTCAAATGAGAGAAAAAATATGATAGCACATGGTGATCAACCATGGGATTTGAAGTGTTCTATTAACAGGATTTAACAGGCACATCCAAACGTGCGCCGTTCCCTAACTTTCCACCATGTCTTCAACAAGACTCCGGCGTCAAGAGTGATTTGAGTGGGATGTTCTCTTTCACTTTCTGGGGGTCAATTGAAGACTGAAGACATTGATCGGAGCGTAGGGCATGAAACCTTTGAGTGCCCGCATCACTTCTGGCTCGGACCCCACCCTTGAACAGTTTCGACAAACCCAGTTCCTCCGACCAACATAGCGACTTTTTGCCAATGCATTCAGCCATTCAGCCAACCCAGCAAGGAGATCCGGAGATCCCCGTATATTCTATGTTTTTTTAGAGATTTTCAACGCTTTGAATTGCAATCAAACCTGTCAGTACACGACATGGGCCGGAACCTGCTGATGGACGAGAACCCAGAGGTAGGACAGTGAGAGGGCATATGAAACTGCAGAACTAATGGGTCATCCTGGGTCTTAACCAGGAATTGATTCCGGTCATAGCAAGCCCCACAAACAGATTTGAGTAAACAGAACAGTTGGAAACCAGAAAGCATGTGCTAAACGTCATCCACCAGCCACCACATCCTCCAACAGTTTTTTCTACAATTTGATTTATAGCAGCTGCAGGAAGAAACCGAGTTGCTGGAGGGTGAAAACACCAGAGGCGCCAGACAGGACTTGGTGTAGGGAGGTCCAACGACAACAAGATTCCCAATCTGTTTGTTTCCTTATTTAACACTTTTGATGTGTTTTTCTAATTTTTTCTATTGATTCTTCTTTTATTGGGTGAGGTAAAACTGGGCATCCCCAGTTTTGGGCGAGGCCAATCCCGTATTTTCCCCGCTGGCATTTTTCGTTGTCGCTCGATGGCACTTCAAGAGGCCAAAGAGCAGTCTTCGTTCCGCCCAGGCGCTTGAAAGGATGGTACAGGGATGGGATTATGGACACCTACCCTTTGGTAAACTAACATAGCCATGGAAAATCACCATTTTTAATGGGAAAATCCACTATAAATGGCAATTTTCAATAGCTATGTTAAATTACCAGAGGGTAACTAGAACACGATTGGATTACCTACCAGTGAAATACAGTGAAATAGTGTTCGAAATGCAATTTGCAAAGGTTATGTAAATCCAATGGAATTTTCTTCTACCGGCACCCTTATCATGATGTAGCAGCTAGCATGGTTATCTGTCAGTTCAATGGGGTTGAAAAACCCAAACTGCAAGTGGCCGGGCCGCGGTTCATGATAAAGGTGGCAGGGCCGCAACTTTGGAACTGCTGAGCCGCCGAGGTACTGGAAATACGCCTCGGGTCTCGTGCTGGTGGTACTGGCTTATGCTGGAAGAGAGTCCTTGCACTGGTCTCGGGAAGGCCTCAAGGCTGTCCAAGCCGGGTGTGGCAAGAGATGGGTGCCGGTGGGGTCATTTTGAAAAGGGGAAGGAATGATCAACAGTACAAGCCCAAACGCTCTGAAAGATGCCTGGGTTTGGATGCTGTCCATGGACAGGTACCTGGCCCTCAGACAGTGAGAAATGGACCCTCGCTGCCTCAACAGCGGCTTGTCAACGAAGCTATCACACACTTGATTCATCTTGATCCATCTTGATTCATTTTGCTAAGTGCTGTCAGATGCTGTTTATAGGCTTTTGCCTCCAAATCTGCCAAGGAAATATTCAGGTCTCAATGGCGCCACGGCGCCAATGCCAAAGATCCCCGACACTGCTACCGAACACAATGGCATCGAATGGCCGGAGATGAGACCTGGCTGTCATCAATGGATTCACTGGATGCAGGAGACATGATATAGCATATGATATAGCTTGGATGACATGACCCGAAAACTAGCTGGGCAGCCAACTGAGGATCCTCCATGGCTCGGAAACGATGACTTTCATGGTCATCGGCCTGGACCCTAATGGCCTGGCAATGTTGAAGGTTCCTGAGCTATCCTTGAACCCTGGATCTCAAGGTGACTGGGGCGGAATGGATGGAGCTGTGGTGCCGCCAAATGGCGGGTTGAGGACGCTGCGGATGGATCCACTGCATTAGAGGTGAGCCCCCAGATTTCACCAGATCGATGCGGCCAGGATGGTTCAATACAATGGTGGGATGGAGGTTGGCCCCCACGTCTTTGCCCACCGCCCCAGTGGCTGCACAGATGGTGAGATGTCGCATGGCTGCAAATTGGGTAACTTCCTGCACCAGCCTGGTGCGCCAATGATTTTGTGATTAGTTTGGGTCTCAGCCATTGTACTTTGGGGATCTTTGGGGGAGTACACCGTCCGTTTTCTTGTGCTTTGATGATCATGCCACTTCGGTCAGCAATTCGTAGCCCACGCCGTCAAACTACGTTTTTTATAGATAGTGCTTGACACTGGCTGACCGCCATTCCAGCAGATCTGCTGTGCTTCCTTCACTTTACTCTTCACATATGTGTAACTCCCCCCTTTTTCTCATCCAAATGATGGACTTCAAAACCAAATGGCCCCACAGGGTGCACCCTTAAACATGGTTTTTGTGGTTTTTGTTACTTCCTCCATTGGAACATCAACTTTTTGAATGGTTCACCTCCTACCCCAAGGATTTGTGCTGCTGATCCCGGTCATTTGAGGTCTATTTGCTTCAATGCTCGTGGTGGGAATGGTTGCAAGCCAAACTGCGGGTATAACGACAGCGTGGATTATGAACCCGGCTTGTTGGTCGCAACCCAAATGAAGCAGCGAGCTGCCCAATCGAAGCCCAAATTCGTCCTTAATGCCGGGATGCCCGAAGCTGCAGCGGTGCGTAACTGGCGTAAGTGTCATGAAATGCATTTCAATGTCAAGAAATATCTCCAAAGAATGGATGGCAATGGAAGAGTTATAATAGTTAGAAAAGTTGTTATAAGTTCTAAAAAGTTATAAGTTATAAATTTTGATTGCCTACTCATTGGTGACTTACTTGTCCTTTTTTTGTAGTGGCTTCGCACCACTTGCTGATCGAAGGTCCCCCAAGTCCCATGGCAAGGTGGGCGACAACTTTTACTGGGGCGGCATCCCGCTGCAGTGCGGTACTTCTTCCATCGCGGGCGTTCATCAGATTACTGGACACATGTCTCCTGGCAGGGGCTGAACGTCCATTTGCCTCCTTGCGTGTGAAAGTTAGGGTACGAGAAAGGAATTGATCATATGAATCATATGTCATACATGGGCCGAATAGGGGATGAACGGTTCAAAAAGATGTCACTGGGAGCCAAGCCGATTTCATGTGGCTTGGCGAGCAGCCATCAGCTATCAATAGCTATCAAGCCAAGGTTCGACACCATCTACAATCATGTCTACAACACGGAAGAGTTGAACATCGCTTGGTTGAGTGTCCTTGGGAGCCTCTGTGGGAATTCTGTGGATGGCTGGGCTTGAGTGGGAAGGGGGCCTCAAAAGCCTCAAAACCAACTGAATGAGTGGACATGGGCTGCCAGCCGCAGGCTGATTGGGTTTATCTGAAAATGGAAAAACACACAACAAAATTTGTGGTTTATCAGCTTATCATCATTTTCCAAAATACTTTTGCCATCATTTCCCTATCATTTTTGCAATTTTTGGACACACCCAAAAGGTTCCCATCCCACCTGCAGCGTCCAACAGCGCTGCCAACAGGAATCACGACTACGGAGGCTGGATGTATTCTGCTGCCTGGGATCAACAGATGCTTGGCGCTCCCAACATTAGTAGCCAGAGCGAGAAAAAAGCACGGCACTGGTAACATTACATGATATAATGATATATATATATATGTCAATATAATATAATAAATATACATGTATCTATATCCATATATGCATATATCTTAATCATAAAGACAATAACCACATACAAACATTCATAATGGCAACCAGAAGTCGACTACCAGTAACCACAACACATTGTCATCACAATCCATCATCGCTGTCATCGCTGTCATCGTCGTCACCATCATCACCATCATCACCATCATCACCCGCCGCCTCCTCCTCCTCCTCATCATCATCAGCAGTAGCAGCAGCATCAGCTGCATCATCAAGAAGGTAATCAAGAAGATCTTCAAGTATCCTGGCATTCTTGAAGCACCAACACTTGGCCTCCTAAGGATTGGCTATACATGGCATAATCCGAAGTCCGGGGACCCAGCGGGGAGCCTTTTTCTGATGAATAGAATTGGATGACCATCGCACCCGGATATGACCCTGCAACTAGAAGAACTGACACTATCACTATCACGTGCTGTAACAGTGTTGTATTGATGATATGACTTTAGGATACCGGATACTTTAGATTTTTTTGGGAGGGGCAGGTGTGTTGGGATAGACAGGTGAAGGGAGCTGGAGCCACAAACTTCTGGAGCCAAATTCGTGGGCAGGTGGCGGCTCCCGGCGCAGTACTGGATGCAGCACGATGCTCGTCTGCAAGCAGATGTTGCAGGTTGACTTTGCCCATGGGAACAACTTGATGGGGTAGGACAATCACATTTCTCAAAAGGTAAGCCAGCAACAACAGGCCACTTTCCATAAATCATAGCAATGCTGGACGTATAGAGTATAATGCCTTGCGATGAGTTACAGTTACCTTTTCCCGAGAGCATCTGAGCGAAGGGTTCTTCTTATAGTGGGGGTCTGTTATACATCTTGACATCTTCACATCTTCTCATCTTCATCTTCACATCTACACAGATCATCTTCACATCTTCACATCTTCACACCCTCACATCTGCACAACTTCACACATCTTCTCTCCACATCTTCTCATCTTCATCTTCACACCTACACAGATCATCTTCACATCTTCACATCTTCACATCTTCACATCTTCACATCTTCACATCTTCACATCTTCACATCTGCACGGCACATCTGCACATCTGCACACATCTTCACACATCTTCACACATCTTCACACATCTTCACACATCTTCACACATCTTCTCTCTCTCTCTCTCTCTCTTTCTCTCTTTCTCTCTTCTTCACATCTTCACATCTTCACATCTTCACATCTTCACATCTTCACATCTTCACATCTTCACATCTTCTCTCTCTCCCTCTCTCTCCCCCTCTCTCTCTCTCTCATTCCCTCTCTCTCTCTCTCGCTCCCTCTCCCTCTCCCTCTCCCTCTCCCTCTCTCTCTCTCTCTTTCTCTTGCCCTCTTGCCCTGTCACGGTCTCTCTCCTTCTTTTTCTTTTCTCTCTTAAGCGGGCGGTGCCGACGAGGCGCCACGAAATGGCCACCCTTTCGCACGAAATGAGGTTCGATCGTCAAAAACTGAGGGTTTTTTTGCGAGTTTGGTTGGTTCTGGTAAAGGGTCTGCGTCTACAAGTGCTTGTGTGTAAAAGTGTTTGTGTGTGAAAGCGTCTGCGTTTAAAGTGTTTGTGTGTAAAAGGGTCTGTGTGTAAAAGCGTCTGGGTGTAAAAGTGTTTCTGTGTAAAAGTGGTTCTGTGCGAATGGGCCTGTGTGTGAAAGCATCTGTGTGTAAAAGTGTTTGTGTGTAAAAGGGTTGTGTGTAAAATTGTTTGTGTGCAAAACAGTTCGTGTGTAAAAGGCTTTGCGTGTAAACGTGTTTGTGTATAAAAGTGTCTGTGTGTAACAGAGTCTCTGTGTGTAAAAGCGTTTGTGTAAAAGCGTCTGTGTGTAAAAGTATGTAAAAGTGTTTGTGTGTAAAAGTGTTGGTGCGGTAAAGAACCTGTGTGTAAAACTACGGTTGTGTGAGGCACGTTTGTATGTATGAGCATGCTTGTATGTAAAAATGTTTGTCTCAATCCTTCTTCCTGTGTCTCCTTCGTTTCATCTTTCTTTTCTTTCTCCTTCAATTTCTCAATTTCTTCATATGTACCTACTTTTCACAACATGTCTGCACCATGTCTCTTCATTTTAGGCATCATCGTATATATATTATATATTTCTATATTTATGTTTCATGCTATAAGGTCTTCATACTTATACCTCTCACTATGCTCCTCTACTCTACGCTCTCGGGCCATCCGTCGTCTAGTTTCTTGGCTTTGAAAAGTTATATAATACTATCCTTAAGAGTAATGTTGCAGAGCATTTCTTTGTGCAAAATATGTCCCAGCTGCATTCATTTGCTGATGCCACTCAGGTGAACTTCCCAGACAAGGGCTTCGACATGGACATCCTACTGCTTGATTCAAACAGTGAGGCGCGGAGTTTGTGGCGACTGAAGGAAACCATGGGTCCAGGGGTATCCGATAGGACGCAGTGCCTTCCACCGTCCTGCAAAACACGTCCCTGGGCAGCTTCCATCAGCGTTAAACGGGAGCACGGCAAACGCGACAAACTGCAAGAATCCGTCCAATGGTTTTCTGAATGATGCGTTCGAGTCAATATTTGGGAAGCTCCTTTTTTCAGTTCGATGGGGACATTGTGATAAACCATAAACCATATATGCCACAGGGGCTTTGGGTGCTCAATTTTGAGACGGCCTGCCATTGCACCAACCCACTTCATCAGCCAAGGAACCTATGTAGTGCACAGCACAACAGCAACGCCAACTGCGCCTCCATTGGAGGGCCTGCCAATCCTGGGGAGTGCCACTTGGTTCAGGACTTTAACTGGGATCATACCACGCCACAATGATGAGATGAAGATTCTAAAAATCTTCAGCCCAGGCTCCAACTGATTTTTATTTGGTCTTCAATCACCTCAAGGCACCTCCACCAACAGATTCCTTATGCTGCAAGCGAGGCCCAGTTTACTTCGCGAAGCTGTGGCAGGCAGAGAGCGCGCAGCTGGCTGTTGTGGGCTTTCCACCATGCCATGTGGTCCCATCCCCATTAGGTGGATGATTTACTACGAAAATCGGCCCTTATGGTTCCGCACCGAGTGTATGAAAGATCATAGAGGATCCTGATTTTCGAAAATCTGAAACAGCAGAGACTGTTGGGTTTCAGTCTCTGGGTGTGGGAGTGGTGCGTTGTTTACTTGCTGTGCCCAACCAAAACACCGGGGTGGAAACGAAAGGCTGGAACTCCCCAACCCGGGAACCTGAACCCCATTGGGTTGGAAAGCTGAGTCAATCTTCGTGATCGAAGGGTGGCAGACTCGAAGACATCAGATAAGTTTTTTTTATTCCATCAGCTCCCATCCGCGCCAGGAACAGGTCGCATGGACGGAGAAGAAACTCAACAACTCCAAGGCCAGGTGGCAGGTGATCGTGTCCCGGCTTCAGTTGATGCGTTGGTGGATAGCTGGCAGATGCTGCCAGCTGCTCCCAATAAATGTCATGACACAACTGGCTGCCCCAAGCCCTTGAAGCTTTGGCGGGCTGAGGTGACGCACTTTCCATGTGGGCACCAGGTGCAAGAGCGTTGTGTGTGTGTGTCTGTGTGTGTGTGTGTGGGGGCAACCCCTGTTCCGAAGGGCTTTTATCACATGTCCAATTTTTAGTTACAGTTCCCAATTTACAAGCAGGGGCACACGGCATCCTTGACCCACCGTGTGCAACGAAGCTACGGTCTTGGATGGGATATCAGGGCTGATCACCCTGACGTACCTGCAGTTGGTCATGATGTTTTCTCATTATTCAAGCTTGTTGATGCATTTTCGGTTAGTCTTTTGTCATATGCATGAATAATTCGAGAAATCGGAGTCCGTTACGCATTTTTCAGTTTTTTCAGTTTTTACCAATTTCTGCGACTTTTGTCCAAAGTGGACAAAGACGGCCTTTCTGAACTCAGTTCAGATACCCTATCGGGAATCAAAAGACTCATAGACGAGATACGGTCTTTCAAGTGTGTTTTCGGCAGAGATTCCGTCATGGTCCTGTCGTGATCCGGTAACTGCCGGCGTGTGAACAGTATCCTTCTGATTTGGCTTCGGCCCTCAACTTTTTTCACCACCAAAAAACGGGGGTATGTCTGGTCCTTGTCCAGAGAAAAACAACAAGGCAATACCACTGGGTCGTTTTGACCATGAATCGTAGCCATCGGTATTTCTTTGAACCGTATCCGATATGATTTGGGACTAATTTTCCTTTCCGTCCCCTCGAGATGAGTAATTCGTGTTACGGAGTTCCACTTTCCAACGGAAATCGAAGATTTCCATGGAAATTGTCGTGCATGTTTTCTCAGGCGTTGAAGAATCTCTGAAAAATCTCTGAAAATCTCTGATTGCACTTTGTGCCTCTGAATTACTCTGATTCACTCTGATTTACTCTGAACATTCAGGGTTATTCCTGAACAAAGGCTTTCGGGCCCTCCTCTGAAACAACTATGAGTCGCCAAACAAAAGGCCAAGAAAGAACAAAAAAGAACAAAAGGAACAAAACAGAAGAACCAGCAATAGAACATTTCGATTTACTCGTAGGACGGATCCGTGAGAGTTTCGATGCAGTGTTTTCACAGTACCTCAGCTTTCGTTTTCTGTACAGACATTCTGGCTCAACGGACATGTTTTTCATGTTTTTCATGTTCATTCAGGAAGCCAGACATTAAAAAACGTAACATACGTAGTTACTTGTACAGTTGACTTTTTAATGGTATGTGGGCATGGTTTTCCATTTTCCATTTTCCATTTTCGTCACGTAGAGTTGCAGCCATGTCATACAATGTGTATTTCATTGCAGGGGACTACAGCCGTCAGGCGGCAAAAGCACCACCGCCTCGAGCACCGGCTGCCGTGGTTTCGACGTCGAGACCCAAAAGTGAGGTCCGACCTGCGCTGCCAATTACAGATGGTACTGCACGCTTCGACCCCCCTAGAAGACCACCGGGACCAATGTCTGTAGTCCTTGCAGGTGTACAGAAAATCGGTAGACCACCAGCCGCACCGAGAAGTTTGACACCTTTACAGCCTCCACCACTGAGATCCAGATCTTCTCGATCCCGTAGACCTCGTCAAACGAGATCTAGATCCGATAGCCGTGCACGATCTCGGTCCCTAGGACCTAGTGTCAGTGAAGTTCGATCAGAGGCTCGCTCTTTACAGCAAGCCCATCATCCATACCCACCAGGGAATTGGGGAACTTCACTTGGAGTATTTGGTATTTACGGTCAAAGCGGCCAATTTTAAGAAAGACCTCCGCCGCCGCCACCACCATTCCGTCCGGTGGTGCCACAGACCGTTCGTAGTGCTCCGAATACATCTTTGAGTACGCCTTTAGGCAGTGCTCCTTTTAATGCGTTTTCGATTCCGAGCACGCCGTCAGGCCATGTCCCGCTAAATGATCATGAGTATTCCTTGTTTGAAATCCTTTTGAATCAACAAGTCAAGGAGCATCCCACTTCTGAAGCCTTTTTGCAACATGTAGCCCAGCTACTGGCACAGGCTGAATTAGGTCGTATCTTGCACAATGGGACGAATCTCAGCAAGAACGAATGCGGTGACATATTTGTGGGCCTAGCCTGGGGCACAGGCAAAACTGTGCACAATGGAGGAGAGGGTGAGTGCATTGACCTCACCCGTGGCCCGAATTCGCAAGGATGCGTGCATCACAAACGTGGCCGCATGTGGGTGATAAACACCCACTGTCACTATTTGACAGGCATTGCTTGGCGATCGGATACCCAAGCTCCGGTCAGGTTTTTTGAATTTCATTCGCAGCTTGATTTTTCATTCGATATTGAATTAAACTTGTCATTGGACTGAATGCCATAATGGCTCAGATCCTCACTTCGATCTTGTCGACCGATTTTCTTGAGCAGGCTCAAAAGTCGTGCTCATTTAATTCAACACACGTACCCGTAGTCACCAACCCCAAAGTCTTTGCATGAATTAGCACCGCTGCATGTACAGACAAGAATTCATTCTTCAGACATTGACAGTGTATGGCCCTGCCATTTCTCCATTTTGAAAGCTAGTTACGCACTGATTTGAATTTCCGTCAGATTAGAAGTGCAGGACTCGGAAGTTAGACCTCTTTGACACTGTAATATTTGGCCGTGACCACAATGAACGATCGTGGAGCAGTACGTTTCGAAATTTTCATTCAACCTTGTTTCGAACATCTTCAGCTGCGTCGAAACGGCGACAATAGGTTTCTCATTGCACAGCAGAGACCACCTTCAGACCTCCGCTTCTCAAGTCTTTACAGACTTGGACCTTAGTGGCAGTCCAGTTGAACTGGAACTTGTTTTCCTTTGTTTTCCTTGCATTCTCATGGTGCATCGGGCTCAAAAGTCGTGCTCAGTTAATTCAATACTCGTAGTCACAAACCCGAACTTTTTGCATGAATTAGCACCGCTGTATGTACAGACAGGATTTCCATCTTCAGACATTGACATGTCTCGCTATTGCGATTTCTCCATTGTGCAAGCTTGTATCGCACTGATTTGGAATTTGCGTTAGATTTCTCAAGAATTTCAATTCTTGACAGACTTGGACTTTTATTTGTTACAATTCTTGAACAAACACTGATGTCCACACTGCCAGGCATCAGATTTGAGACACTGTATCCGCCGGAACCTTCCGTCTTGCTTTGAGCGGGCTCAAAAAGCCATGCTCATTTAATTCAATACTCGTAGTCACAAACCCGAACTTCTTTGCATGAGTTAGCGCAGCTGTGTGTACAGACAAGAATTCATTCTTCAGACATTGACAGTGTTTGGCCCTGCCATTTCCTCATTTTACAAGCTTGTTTCACATTCATGTGGCAAAGCCTGCAGAAATGTTTGACTTTTCCCTATTATACAAGCTTGTTTCACACTCATGTGGCAAAGCCTGCCGAAACGTTTGGCGTCAGATCCGAAGTGAAAGAATCGGAAGTCAGACATCTTTGACACTGTCAAATTTGGCAGTGGCCACATTGAACAATCGTGTAGCATTACCTTTCAAAACCAAAATGTTTCAACCTTGTTTTGATCTTCGAGTAGTGTAGTCTGATACTTTGATACGTCGACAATAAGTTTCTCATTGCACAGAAAAGACCACCTTCAGACCTCCGTTTGTCAAGTCTTTACAGACTTGGACTTTAGTGGCAGTCCAGTTGAACTGGAACTTGTTTTCCTTGCATTCTCATTGTGCATCGGGCTCAAAAGTCCTGCTCATTTAATTCAATACTCGTAGTCACAAACCCGAATTTCTTTGCATAAATTAGCACCGCTGTATGTACAGACAGTATTTCCATCTTCAGACATTGACAGTGCCTGGCCCTTGCCATTTCTCCATTTTGAAAGCTAGCTACGCACTGATTTGAATTTCCGTCAGATTAGAAGTGCAGGACTCGGAAGTTAGACCTCTTTGACACTGTAATATTTGGCCGTGACCACAATGAACGATCGTGGAGCAGTACGTTTGGAAATTTTCATTCAACCTTGTTTCGAACATCTTGTAGTCAGCTGCGTCGATACGCCGACAATAGGTTTCTCCTTGTACAGCAGAGACCACCTTCAGACCTCCGTTTCTCAAGTCTTTACAGACTTGGATTTTAGTGGCAGTCCAGCTGAACTGGAACTTGTTTTCCTATGTTTTCCTTGCATTCTCATGGTGCATCGGGCTCAAAAGTCGTGCTCAGTTAATTCAATACTCGTAGTCACAAACCCGAACTTTTTGCATGAATTAGCACCGCTGTATGTACAGACAGGATTTCCATCTTCAGACATTGACATGTCTCGCTATTGCGATTTCTCCATTATGCTAGCTTGTTCCGCATTGATTTGGATTTTGCGTCAGATTAGAAGTGTAGGAGTCGGAAGTCAGACATCTTTCACACTGTCGAATTTGGCCATGACCACAACCAACGGTCGTGGAGCAGTACGTTTCAAATTTTGACTCAACCTTGTTTCGATCATCTTGTAGTCAGATACGTTGATAATTCGACAATAGGTTTCCCATTGTACAGAAAAGACCACCTTCAGACCTCCGTTTCTCAAGTCTTTACAGGCTTGGACTTTAGTGGCAGTCCAGTTGAACTGGAACTTGTTTTTCATTGCGTTCTCATCCTGCCTCTCACACATTGAGTGTCTGGCCCTGCCTTTTTCCTCGTTGTGCAAGCTTGTTTCGCATTTTTTCATAGTCCAAGTCTCCACCGGATTTTTAATCACAGCCTTTTCGCATTAGCATATGTACAGAAAAGTTTTAATCGATCCGACGTTTTATCCACTTACCGTATTTTTCAACCAGATGAAACAGCACGTTACGATGATGATGGTTTGCGACAAAACGGCTTTCAAGTGGGGGGTCACCCGGTATCCGAGGTGTTTTGACCACCTGTGAACCTGTCGCTTTTTGCCTGCACTTGTGATTCTGACCTGGAGTCAGTACCGGATGTGCACCAAATTCGAGATTGTGTATCCGCGGGATCTGCCCGTCTCAGAATGAGTGGACTCAAAAACCCGGGCTCATCTAATTCGAATAATCCGTTGAAAGACGCACTGTTGAATATCTTCAACCTGACATATGTCAGATTAGAGATTGCGTCTCTGCGGGATCACTCCGACTCAGAATGAGGGGATTGAAAAGCCCGGCTCATTTAATTCAAAAATGCACGTATCCGACCAGTTTGATTTCCAGTAGCTTGACGCAGCTGGGCGTCTTCTATGTACAGAAAAGGTTTTTCCAAACCTGACGTCGATCAAGCACTTAACCAGCGCAAGTAAATATTGCTGCTGTCCGTTTTGCCCCCGATATCTTCATGGACTTGCAATTTTGTCATTACATTTCTTGCCTCTATGTTGGCTCATTTTTGTAATGCCTTCCTGATTCGTTTCTCAGACTTTCGCCATGAAATCACTTTGGAGTTTGCGGGACCAGTTTTTTCAAGATCACCGTTGCTGAAAGCAACGGATGCTATGTTTTGGCGACATACGGCCTTTGTGTGTGGGGGCAACCCCTGTTCCGAAGGGCTTTCTTCACATGTCCAATTTTTAGTTTCAGTTCCCAATTTACAGGCAGGGGTCACTCCGACTCAGAATGAGTGGACTGAAAAGCCGGGCTCATTTAATTCGAAAATACACGTATCCACCAGTTTAATTTCCAGTAGCTTGACGCAGCTGGGTGCCTTATATGTACAGAAAGGTTTTTTCCCAACCTGACGTCGATCAAGCACTCAACCAGCGCAAGTAAGTATTGTTGCTGTCCGTTTTCTTCATGGACGTGCATTTTTGTCATTGCATTTTTCTCATTACATTTCTTGCCTCTATGTGGGCTCATTTTTGTAATGCCTTCCTGATTCGTTTCTCAGACTTTCGCCATGGAATCATTTTGAAGTTCGCGGGAACAGTTTTTTCAAGATCACAGTTGCTGAAAGCAACGGGTGATATATTTTCGCGACATACGGCCTTTGTGTGTGGGGGCAACCCCTGTTCCGAAGGGCTTTTATCACATGTCCAATTTTTAGTTACAGTTCCCAATTTACAAGCAGGGGCACACGGCATCCTTGACCCACCGTGTGCAACGAAGCTACGGTCTTGGATGGGATATCAGGGCTGATCACCCTGACGTACCTGCAGTTGGTCATGATGTTTTCTCATTATTCAAGCTTGTTGATGCATTTTCGGTTAGTCTTTTGTCATATGCATGAATAATTCGAGAAATCGGAGTCCGTTACGCATTTTTCAGTTTTTTCAGTTTTTACCAATTTCTGCGACTTTTGTCCAAAGTGGACAAAGACGGCCTTTCTGAACTCAGTTCAGATACCCTATCGGGAATCAAAAGACTCATAGACGAGATACGGTCTTTCAAGTGTGTGTGTATATGAACTACCCTCTGGTAAACTGTCACATAACGAACTGGAAAATCACCATGCTATTAATGGGAAAACCATCTATTTCTAAGGGCCATGGCTTCCATAGCTATGTAACAAATTACCAGAGGGTAACTCTTCACACATTCCAACATGTCGTTGAGCCCGAAGGGCGCCGAGTCGCAAGACCAAACGCCGCATGGCAAGCATGGCACACGTCACCGGCACAGCATGAGATCACGGGTGAAGTGAAGGTTGAAAGCTGGAAAAAGCTTCGACCGTTCTTGGCCCTTGAAGCTCCCTGAAAATCTGAAATGCAAAAAAAAACACGGAAGGCTTCCTGAATAACTGAATAAAGATCAACTTTGGAGGACATGTTTTTATCGCTAGTTCACCACCAAAACTGGTGATGTCTAAGCCAAAATTATGGCTGCGTTGGATGCTCATAGACAGAGTGTCTGATGATGGTGAACGAGAAACATAGACAGAGTTCAAAACTACGAACTCGTACTCATCGCAGGTCATGAGAAACATTGTAATATAATATACTGTATACATATATAATATAATATATCTATATGTATAATATATATATATATCAAGATATATATATATATATATCACGTGTTCATAATTTTCCTAGTAAAAAAATACTCAACAGCTTCCATGGGAGCCCAGCATAGGCAGCTCAAGCTGGAAGCCAAAATGCCGCGATGGGTTGACATTGGTGGAGTTCCGGAAACTTTGTATCAAGGTTGAGTGACTGACAAAATAGTGCTTCGAAAAGAGTCGATTTCCCAATAAATAGCTCCCAGAGTCTGCGGGGAACAATCATGATCAATCTATGGCAATCTGATGTTGCCACATTTGAATACATGGGGATGGGTCAAAACCCTGGTACCTAGTGAACCCCAAAATAGCTGGTAAATGGATGTTCATCCCACTAAAAATGTATCTATAGGTATTGACCCATACTCACATTAGATTCTGGAGGATGTCTCCTCTGTGTGTCGACTTCTTTGCTTCACTTCAAATGCCCTGGGGAATCCCCGTGTCGCAACTGGCTCCAGTGCTGAGGTGCTATGGCAAGATTAGTCGTCTTCCTAACCATGTTCAAAACAAACCCACTATTTGATCATGTACCCTCTGGTGAACTAACATAGCAATGGAAAATCACCATTTTTAATGGGAAAATCCACTATAAATGGCCATTTTCAATAGCTATGTTAGTTTACCAGAGGGTATCCTGGTTTAAACAACTTGAATTCATGTCTAACTTGTCCCGAAACAAAGTTCGCCCCAATCCCCGGAACCCAGCATTTCCCAGCTGCCTGGTCCAATTGCGGTCTTAAGGGGCCCTGAGGCAAATGGTGGGATTACTGGGGAACTGCGGATAACTCATCAGTACTCAGTATATCTAAACATTAAAAAAATGGGATTGTTGACTGAAAATTGAAAGTTTAAGCGGGATGAAGTGGGATTGTACAACGATTTTTGGGACACAATGGCGGATATTCAACCAACAATATGGCCAAGCATGAGGGATACGAGGGATGATACCCAACGAGGATTGAGCGTCATTTTTGGGACCAATCTGCACAGTTCATCAATCCCAAACAAAACGATCGCTTGAGCAGCAAAAAACGATAGATTCGAACCAATGTTGACATTGACATTGACCATTTATCAATCCCAAACCGCCAGATTCAAGGGATTCAAGGGCTCAAGAGCCGGGACTCAGCATTGCCAACTGAAAAAGGCCATGATTCATGAGTTCCTCGAAAGGTCATCATTTCAGCGGATTGGATGGATTAATCGGATTGACTTAACAGAAAATCTATAGGAAGCCATGGATTTTCCCATTAAATATGGGATTTTCTTGTAAAAATATTCCCTTTAAAAGAAAAAAAAACGTGTTTTTTTGTGGAAGCAGGTTTTTACTTGGGATTTACCCCATATTTCTACAGGATTAATGTATTAACAACCAGGATTTATATGATTTTATATGGGTTTTTACCCCATTACTTGGAGGAGGTCTCCTGTTGTGAAATGTTTCCCAACCAGTTCTGGGATGCTCCTTCCATTGCCCGGCAACACCATTGAACCAAAGTAGTGAAACTTTCGTCTAGTTATAATTAATATGTACATCATCTGTATATAATATACTGTGTATAATGCATATGTATAATTGTCATATTGGCACATCAACCATGCTATCTGATGGTTCCCATACAAATCTGGTACTGGGGTGAAAAAGACTGTATGACTATATACTATGCGATTGTCCATCATAAACTATCCAGCTACTGGGGTAACCCTATTTATGCAAAAAAAACATATCATATGTATATTTAATTATGTCAAAGATATGTACAAACCTCTGGACAAAGCTCCAGCTGAACCCCCTTGGCTAACAACGCGTGACCAAGAAACTCGACTGGCAGGAAGTTGCATGGGTGCTGCCCAATGTGAAGAGGTCTGGGGCGCCTGCCAGGCTGCTTGGTGGCTCGTCCCACGGGGACTGACTGGGATGAGCACCTATTGTTGGAATGAAAGCACCAAAAATGGGGGTTGGACCAGCCATTTTTTGAAGATACAACAGGATAAACACACTGTTTTCGGCATGGCAAGCTGAAAATTGGGTCCCAATGGACAACTAGATCTGAAAGTATTCATTTCTTTGGGGACACAGCTGTATTCAGCCAATCCCAGGCCCAGATTAGAGCTGAACTACCAGAGGCACAGCTTGGTTATCACTTTGGGACGATTCTTGTTGGGACATTCTGCAGGAAAACACCAAAGTGTAGGGGTAAAAAATCCATGCTTTCAACATGTTTCAACGGTAACTTTCCCTTCAACCCAAGCATTGAAACACGATCATACTGGACTATGGCCATATTGGGCGGTTTCCTAAGTCATGGTGGTACCCCTACAATGTGGGGCCCCCCAGTTATAAATTGGTTTATAAACCCCAGTAACTATAGTTATAAGTATCATAAACCATAGTTATTGGAGTTATAAACCAACTTAGCTATCTAGGGCCCCACTTTGTAGTTCTCATCCATTTATAGATGAATTGTCCAGAACCATCCAGCGCCTGCAAAAGATCGGACCCAAGTCGTCCAAATTCCAGGAACGACAAGGTATGCTCCTGCCGCTCTCAGAGTACATCACCATCACAGTACATGGGGCCCACTGATCCGTGGTTTATAATCCATATAACCCATAGTTTATAATCCATATAACCATATATATGAATCCATATAACCGGTTTATAATTCATATAACCCACATTAAATCCCATTTTTTTTGTGGGGGATCTTCCATGTATCACTGGCTTTTTCTTCACCCTTAAACACCGAAAAAGCACCAGCAACGAAAAAAATCTGTCATGGTCGAAACACTTGGATCCATGTGGATCCATCGTCATTCGGAATCCGAAACATCCAACATGGCAATGGAACAGCCGAGAATCCCTGATTTATGGATGATGTTTCCATGAAAAAATCTCTACTGCTTGGTGGTGAAATTTAACCATCTTGAAAGTCAAAAAATGAGTTCGTCAATGGGAATGATGACATCCCATATATGATGAACAATAAAATTGGTGTGTGAGTATGTATATATATATACTGGTTGGTGGTTGACCTACCCCTCTGAAAAGTGATGAAGTTCGTCAGTTGGGATGATGACATTCCCAATATATGGAAAAATAAAAGCCATGTTCCAAACCACCAAGCAGTATATACATATATATATTATAATGGATCGATGAGCATCCTGCAATATGGGTATGAAGGTTAGATACAATATATATATATATATATATATAGTATGTTAAGCTTACAACATTAGACAATTCGGAGCTAGCTGCAGCTAAGATATTCTTCCATCACAAATATGAAGAAAAAAACAAAAAAAATGCCAATTTTAACCTACCCTTCACATCCTATCATCCAAATAAATCAACAAAATTAAGTTGTATCCCCGTATTGTGTAATTAAAATCTTCATTACATTCCACAATTCTGCAACTCAAGCACATGTTTGATGGCTCAGGTCATGTGTAAAAAAAAAATGTGGGAGAAATTCACATTGGTCATCTCAATTGGTGAAATCTCATTAGCTCAATGACCATTGGAAATTCACCAAATATAAAAATCGCAGGTGAAATTCCTCCCAGCTTTGTGGCTCAATCTGTCGATGAACTGCTCCGTGGGTCATCTCGCTCCTTGAATCCCCGCCACCAGCGGATGAGTTCCAGGGGAACCTGAGCAAGTTTCAGCGGAAACCGAGGTCGCGAAATTCCTAGGACTGGTGCGGATAAAAATCCGTTTACAGCAAAAAAAAAAGGGTTGGTATTGAGATGGACCCCAAAATCATCCCAAATGTGTCGTTTATATCGGGAAACCAATGGTGAAGAGGGGAGGAAACACCCCATGGGGATCATAATGTTGTTTAAAATAGAAAAGTACCAAGTAGAGGAATATATATATATATCGCAACAAAAGATAACGAAAGTGGGAATCCTGAAAACCCGAACTTGGGGTGTTTGCAGTTCATTGTGGTGCATTGGTGCACCCCAACTAAAGAGCCAGGGATTCAAACTACAAGCCGTTGGGATTTCGCCAGCGAAATCCCAATGTTTCTTTTCTTGAGGACAAGAAGTTTGGTGTCAATTTTAGATGCCACTTCTTCATTTACCCTCCAGTAAATTAACAGGTCGACCCTGCCATCGGGCTTGGAAGATGAGTGAAACCACAATTGGTGGATGTTCAGGGTTAAAGTTTTAGTTTACCAACATAACGAACTGGAAAATCACCATGGTAAATCAACATGACTAATGGGTAAATATGGGTAAATCAACTAATAATAACTGATTAATAACCATAATGGTTGATTAATGGGTAAATCAACATAAATCAACGATTTCTATGATTTCGACTGGGCCATGTTCAAGTTCGCAAACTGTAAAGGTTTACCAGGCCGGGTACCATGCCTTACAACGGATGGAAAGGGATCTCCATACCTTTTTTGAGTCAAACGACTGGAAAACCCCAACGTGAATTCCAACCACAAATGAGGGAAGGGCCTGTTTATAAAGCCCAACCATAGATATATCATGATGAATTCATGATATATATATATATCATATATCTACCATAAATTCCAATGATATATAGTTTATTATATCAGTTATAGACCAACACTGTTTCTGGTGCCCTTTTTCCCTGGAAACCTGGATCCGAAAATCAGCAACCACCGAGCCCGGGAACGTTCACGAAAACGGATTCCAACCTGGGGTGGTCGGAACACTTCGGGGCGGTGGAAACCCACTTGGGGATACAGAATGAAAAATGGATTGAAAAATGGTGCTTAAAAACTGGGAGATCCTTCCATCAATGAAGATGTTTACAAATGTTTACAAACAGTCGCATCTTCTCTTTTTGAAGAAACATGACCAACATTCACCAACACTGCATGGTACATTCATGTACATTCCCCAAAATAAAGGCGAGAACTAACAGCTTGCACAATGAAAAACAGGCGGGATCCGGCCCAGCCAACTGGAGCTAGTTTCCCGCCTGATGCCAATGAGTTTGTCGGGTTCCCACAGGAGCATCATCTGCAGGGCACGCGTTTCCACCTGGGTGGGGAGCCAAATCCACCGATCTGCTGGGATTGTGGCTGAAACCAGGTAATAACCATAGCTGGTTGGTGGTTGACCTACCCCTCTGAAAAATATGAATCCTTTGGGATGATTATATATTCCATTCCCAACTGAATGGAAAGTCATCAAAAACCAATGTTCCAGTCATCACCAACCAGATGATGTGGGATTTTTCACTTTCAGATCGCCAAAAATCCCAAGATGATTCGGATAAACTGAAAATCTCTGGAGTCGGACCGGATTCCATGGTGGTTTTCTCAATATGAATGGTTAATAGTGGTCTACCTAATGGTTAATCATGGTTAGTAGTGGTTAATCATGTTTAATAATAGTCATCAATCTGGTTGGTGGTATACCTACCCCTCTGAAAAATGATGAAGTGAGTAACAGTTGGGATGATGACATTCCCAACTGAATGGAAAGTCATAAAATTTCATGGTTCCAAACCACCAACCAGATATTCTATTGTATCAAATTTGGTTGGATGCTGGTTGAATCCCTAGGTTTGGTGCTTAGTATCGATTGATAAATTGATAAACCTCTGTTTTTTATCATGTTCAGCTCATCCCCCTGAAAAAACAAAAACAAAAACTTAAGATTCGCCCGGATACTCATGGTTGTTGGTGGTTGATAAAATTTCAATACACCCACGCAAAAAGTTGGGGTATCAGGTTACTGGGGGGTTATCCTATTACCAAGATCTACATAGCTGGGAAAATCATCGAACGAAATGGATTGACTTTCCATTGCCATCGATTACCAAAGGATGTATATATATATATTACTATGTAGATATATGTGCATAATATATATATATATATACCCTCTGGTAAACTAACATAACTATGGAAAACCACCATCTTCAATGGGAAAACTCACTATTTCTATCACCATTTTCAATAGCTATGTTTGGCATAACCAGAGGGTATATCCCGATAAAATGGTTGGTAATTCTAGCCATGGAAAATGACCCATTTCGAGATTAGAGAGGAAATTAATACACTAAATAAAACGCTGACTTTCCATATTTTTCTTAACTACCGGAGGTAATTAACCCAATTATGTTGGTTATGTATATATATAATATATATGTATGTATATATATACATGTGTGTGTCCCATGAAAAATCCCCAAGATGGTTGGTTCAAGTTCCATTTCCAATCGTTAAAATCCAATGGCATGATGGGGTAACCCCAATAAAATCGCCAATGTCATAAGCCATTCCACCAAATGGGGAATCCATTTGGACAACCCTACAAGGTGGTACCCCCCAGTTATAAGTTGGTTTATAAACCATAGTAACTATAGATATATCTACCATAAACCATAGTGAAATTGGAGTTACTGGCAGCAATTTAGCGATTCCGAACTGGGGCACCATCTTCTATTGTAACTCCTTATATCCTAGTATATCTTATTGCAAATTATAATACCATCTGGTTATTTTACATAGCCATGGAAAATCACCATTTTTAATAGGTAACCATCTATTTCTATGGGTCATTTCCCATGGCTATGTAACAAATTACCAGAGGGTATCTATATTAGATAAAATCTGTTGTTAAAATACCCAGAGAACCAGGGTATGTTTATACAACCAGGGTCCCAGGCCAACTGTCCCTCAACAGCTTCACCACGAGCCAGGCATTGGAGCCTCAATTTAAGGGGACTGGCTCAACGGTGGGGACCCGGTTTCGAAAGTCTGAATCCGATGCAGAGAAGCATTATATATATATAAATTATATATATCATCAGTGTGTGATATATAGATATATAGACAGATAGATAGATAGATGGATAGATGGATAGATAGATAGATCGATAGATCGATAGATCGATAGATCGATAGATATATGGGCAAATAGATATTAATAGATGTATAGATACAAACTCTTGATCCAATCCCCCCTCTCCTAAGGCCATGGTATTGGTTCAGTAATAGTACTAACCCCCTCAACCAACCTGTGGTGTGGTGGGGGGTGGGGAGGGGGGTGGGGGTGTATGCTGTCTCTATGATATTATATATATATATTATGATAGAAGTGATGTATGTATGTATGTATGTAAGTAAGTAAGTAAGTAAGTAAGTAAGTATGTATGTATGTATGTATGTGTGTGTATGTGTATGTGTATGTATATGTATATGTATATGTATATGTATATGTATATGTATATGTATATATGGTAGATATTATATCATATATAATATATGATATATATATATAGTATATATCATATATATACAGGTAAATAATATATGATTTATATATAATATGTATATGATATTTACATATATATATATATATATATACATACGATAGATATATATATATATGCACCAGGCCCTGCCACCCCCCCCTCCCCCCCACCCCCATGGGATGGGTCCCATATACTGGCCCCATATGAGATCTTCCCCCTCCCCCCCCCTGTGGTGTGGTGGGGGTGTGGCACTGTCCCCCTGTTTTTGTTTCGACCTAATACCTACATAGGTACATGCATGAGTATTGAGCACATTTATATGCGCCTTCAAGGCTCAAGAAAGAGGTATATAGAGTAACCCTGTAGACAAGCACGGACCGGCAACAGGCTGAGTAAAACAAGTGCTGTCATTGGCGAAGACGCCTTAGCTGATCTTGAAGTAGACGCTAGGGCCCCTCTTCAAGTGGTAGCGGAGCAGTGATCCCTCATTGAGGGTGAGCTCCAGGTAGAGCCCAAGAAATGGCAAGCCATGGCTATGATGATGATGACTTCGACATTGTCGATGCAAATGAATGGAACCAATATGACTCTTATGCAATGAGAAGAGCACCCCAGCATACACAGATTCATATGACGCAACAGATGACCACAAAGGTTGCTCCAGCCTATGATGGGCGAACCAGCTTCTTTGCTTTTGAGGATGCAATTGATGACTGGTGTGACATTACGGAGTTAGAACCAGAGAAACGTGGTCCAGCATTGCGCAACAGACTGGAAGGAGATGCTCAACAATACAAGAGGCTATTGGATAGAGAACTACTCAGGGATCCCCATGAAGGAGTGCACTATTTCAAAAGATTTCTACGACCTCATTTCATCAAAGGTGCCCAGAACGTGTTCTTATACCGTTTCATGCAGTTCATGAAGTTCAACAGAGGAACCATGGATCTTCAGAAGTGGATGACTAGATTTCAACTCACTGGCAATAGACTTATTGAGTCTTGGATGGATTTACTTCCAGAAGTAACAGTGACTAGTCCTGAAGCAATTCTGTTTGTTCAACAACGACGTCAAGAACATGAACAAGATCAACAAGAGAGAGCTGAAGTAGCAGCAGCCTCAGGAACACCCTATGTAGCTGTTCCTTGGACAGATGAACTGGCACTAGCGGCATTCAGACAATTTCAGGAAAATCGTAGAGAAGCACAGCGACAAGCATTCCCACTGGGTGAAAATTTGCTAGCATTGATTTTTGTAAGTCTAGCTGACCTGAGTCAAGATCAGAGAAACACACTCACAAGTATCATGACACATCGTGGACGAACCCTCGATCGATACAACATTCAAGAACTACGTGACCTGTTTTTGGAAATGTTTTGCACTACCAAAACAGCATTTGACAATCCATTGATGCAACCCTCTGGCATGGCACAGAGAAGATCTTTCCTCGTACTGGATGAAGGTGAATTAGAAGGAACCGACGGCTATTGGGCCGAAGATGAAGAAGACGGCGCAGAAGGATTCCTGGATGCCTTAGAAGATGTTTTCTGGGTTTATGATGACGCCAACTTCACATGGTATCAGAGAAGGTTCCAAGGCAAATACATCAGACGAGGCAAAGGTAAAGGAAAGAGAAAAGGAAAAGGAAAAGGCAGAGGAGGACGAAGGTTCTTCAAATCAAGAAAAGGAAAAGGCCGAGGAAAAGGAAGAAGAAAAGGCCGTGCTCACATGGTGAGTGAAGAAGATTATGAAGATGAATGGCAAGAAGATGAATGGAATGAAAACTATGACGGCTATTGGGCCGATGATCAAACCTGGAATGAAGGCTATTGGGCCTATGATGATCTGTACTACATGGATGAGTATGGATACTTCCAGAAGAAAGGAAAAGGAAAAGGAAAAGGAAAGAAAGGCAAGAAAGGCAAGGATGATGATGGAAAAGGAGGAAAGCCAGGAGATGGAAAAGGCAAGTCGAACTATGTTCAACCTCAGACCACATCAGCTCCTGCCATACAGAATCAACCAACTCAACAAGCTCATTATTCTTCTGCAGCTTCAAGTTCTGGTCATGGTTTCTTTTCATTTGGAACAACTGAACCAGCACGTGTTGATGTTGCAGAGACAGAGCCATCACGTGTTGATGTTTTGACATCCACGTATGCAGCACAAGATGAACAACGACGTACTCGTCGTGGAGGACAGAACCAACGTGATGCAAGAGCACATCAAAACAGGAGAGAAATGAAGAGATTCCCTGTTCTGGTTGGAGAAGTTGGTGCACTACGACAAGGTGTACAACAACGTCCAGCTGTAGTGCCCAGGCAAGTTGGTCTTCAAGAAGGTGAGGCTTCATGGAAGCCATTGGCAGAAGGCACATCATTGTTTTCATATGGATGCTCTACAGAGATAGAGGAACCATCACAGCAGAGTGCTTTTTCATTTCATACTGTACAAACTGATCTGGCATGTGAGAATGGACTAGCTTTTCACACAGAGAATTCTGCACCACCAACTGTGTGTATTCTGGATCTTGGATGCACAAGAGCTATGGGCTCTCGACGAGCAGTTGAAGCATTTTGCAGATATGTTGACTCACATCCCAACAGTGGACTCTGGTATGAAATTCAGCCAACAAGTTCAAGATTCTTCTTTGCAAACTCACAACAATCAAAATGTACTGAGAAGCTCGTGATATTCATGTATGATCATGGATGGAACACTCAGTTTACAGAATTCGACATTGTCGAAGAAGGTGATGTCCCATTGTTGATGTCACTTCCACAGATGAGAAACCTTGGATTTCAATTTGAACTTACTCCAGAGAAGGCTTATTTGTCCTGTGCACGTATTGGCATGAGAAAAATGGTTTTGAGGACAGCCATTAGTACTCATCTCATTCTCGACCTACAAGATGTAGCATGGTACATGAGCCAAGTTCATTTCAAGACTCCACAAGTCAAAAGTTTCTATTCACAACACGATCACTTTGAGTACAGCCAGATTGCTGTCAAACAAGATGATCATGAAGGAGAAGCTTTGGTGACTGGTGACTACTGGCAGGTTGATCCACTACGTCGTGAACTCATCAGGCACCACAAGGACAAGAGAATGAACTTACATGAGATGACTCGATCAGAGAAAACTCCAATTCCAAAAGATCAACTTCTTGATGAGAGAGAAACCCACATGGAATTCCAGAAGAGCAAGAAGAAGGTTCTTCACAAGGACAACTGGCGCACTGAGAAGAAGAGGTTTTCTGAACAGAGTGAAGAGTTCTGGAAGGGCAAGACCATCTACAAGATCAAGGAGGACTACGTGATCCCAGATGACATTGTCAGAAGTGACATTGATCGTGCAAAGCCCTTTCGTGGAAACATTGATGATCTTTTTCACCCTGAGTCAGCCTCTTCAGTGCCATCAGGGGTACAGAAGAAGAAGCCAAGCTCCTTAAAGAAGGAGGAAGGCAAACCGATTTCAAATGGACCAGGCTCGAAAAAGATTGAGGTAGGTCCACCTGCAGCCAAAAGACACGTAGGTAAGCAGAAACCTCAGGTTGTCGATGACTCTCAATCAGGTTCATCAAGAAAGAAGGTTGTTGTCTCCTATCCCAAGCTTGATGAAGAAGATGAGCTTGATAAGGTAGCTAGGGAGTTAGGTTTGGACAAGATTGATTCAGATGAACCTCAAGTCATTGAACCGAAACATTCTGCACCTGCGCGCAACCGTGGTAAGCAAGATTCAGAAAGTCAAGTTGAGAAACTAGGTAGTGATGCTCTTGAGCCTAGGCGAGTTTCGATTCCACTGCCTGGTAGTGAAGTGCAAGCCATGACACCAGCATACAGAAAGATGCTCAGGAAACTGGAGGATAGTGTGGAACTTTACAAGCTTCATATCAAACACTATCACATGTCTCCTACTCAATTCAGACGAAGGACTTCCATGTTAGGACTTCCTGACTCTGTCTATCAGAAGTATGAGGAGATGTACAACAAGTGTCGTGTGTGTAGTACTTCAATTGCACCACCGCCGCGAGCCAGAATTTCAGGCATACGATCCACCAACTTTGGAGATGTTATCTTTGTTGATCATGCTGAAATTCAGTTGAGGAAGAACAAGTACATGGTGTTGCTTGTTCTTGATGGTGCAACCAACTTACTTTGGGCTACGGCACAAAACTCACTGAACAACAAGGAGACCATTCAGGCTCTAAGGTTGTGGAGTGATGAACACAATTGTATGCCTAAAGCCATTGTAGGTGATGAAGCTTTCTTTCAAGAAGACTTTCTGACTTATTACCGAACTCATGGTATCAAGGAATGTCCCTGTGGTTCAAGAACCCCATGGCCTAACAGAGCTGAATCAGCTGTCAGACTTTTCAAACGACAATGGCAAATCATGTCCAAGAACCTTGAAGATGATAGGTTCAAGGGAATCACCATCAGAGAAGCTGTGAAG